TGATGTTCAAGTTTTTCAACCTTTCAAACACTATCATTCGCAAATGGTTGACCGATCTGCAAGAACTGGCAATATGACATTTGACCATGTTGAGTTTTTTCATGTATTTCAAGAGATGCATGATCTAACCTTTACAAGAACTACAATCCTCTCTGCATTTCGAAAATCAGGCATTGTACCATTTAATCCAGATATACCCCTGCAAAATGTTGTTGAATTCAAGCCCTTCGAAATCGACATTTCAAGTTCATCACCAATACGGCCAGAAGATACAGATTCCTTTCTCTCCCAACCTCACAAAGAATCAGATTTTAGCAATATTCCACAAGATCCAAAGAAGCTATTACGCCATGGAGATTATCTTCTCCAAATCTTCGATATAGAAACTACAACTATAGATCAATGGGAATCACTTCAGGCATTTATAAAAGGAGCAAAGGCAGGTATATTTGCAGGAGAGCTTGCACGTCGTGATCTCTGTTCAATTTATTCTATATCTCAAGCAAAGACAAAGCGGAAGAGAGAAGGAGGATTCCAATTGCAAAAGGGTGGAGAAGTTACTGTTGCAAATGCTCGGGGACAATTAAAGATAACAAGGTACAAGAGAAGGAGAAGGATGCACTAGCTCTTATACGTCTAGTTAAAAAGAAGAAGCAAGAAGAGTCAAAGCAAATAATAGACGAGCATCCTTATATTCTTGATATTGCACACCAGGAAGGCACGTTGGGTTGAATGCAGGGTTTATAAAGAATCGAATTGCCAAATCATTAAATACCATAGTTTGATTATTAGAATTGGCAACTACCTCATTACTTATTGAGTGCATAATTCACACCGTATTTATGCTCTATAGCTAGGCTGCGCACTGGGTACTCACGAGTCGAGTAGTAGAATTTTTACTCACCCAGCTGAGTTACTCACTCATGTCCCGAGTATTGTTGAATGAGGATTACTCACTTGCTGAGTACCTAGTATGGGTCTTGGCAACTCAGTTATATCACGTGTTTGATTAGCCATTACTTATGTTAAAAACGGGGTGCGACTTCATTGATCAAGACGCCATAACTCCAACTCCATTCCCATATTGTTGATGTCCTATTCCACACTATAACCTTTGGCCTTTAGGTACCAGGTTACCAGATGGTTGCCAGAACTCATCTGACCTTCATTCCTGGGTGAGAGACATTTCCATCGATTAAGCCCACAGCTTAAACATCATATCCTGCAAACGCCGAACCAATATCATACCCTTTGCCTGAATTGTCACTCTCTTCGCATGAATAGCGAGGAGGTTTGTCACTATAACTGTTAGTATGTCTCTGTCACTATGTTTAAACATCATACTCTCAAATTCTCGAATGAGGAAGCATTCAGCAGCTTCCTAAAGAGCTAGGATAGCAGATTGCTGGAAGCGAAGATTGGACTTGAAGTCTTCTGTGATTTCCCTAACAAGACGCTGGAATGGGAGCTAGTATCAAGTTGCTGTCTTCTGATATCGCGGAGAGCCTTGGTGCCTATATGTTTATTAGAGAGTTCTGGTAATCCTCTGGTAATCCTCTGGTAATCCTCTTACTAGACTTTGTGCAGCGCGTGGCCTTCTGAGCATGATTGTTGCTAGCTTGAGATGAGCAAACTGGAGCTTTTCTTGCTGTGCCCACAGCCTTTTCCTGTCCCTTTCCGCCAAGCCCAGAGCCAGCCCGTAATCCAAGTGGCATCCTTGGTGCTATGCTGCCAGTTGATCTCCTAGCAGTTTGCTTGGTACGAGTCATTTGCTAATATCAAGGTGAGTTAGTAAAGTAAACACAAGATAAAGAAGTAGATCAAAAGATATGTGTACTTACAGTGAGTTTGTAGAAAGAATATTGCAGAAGAAGAGTATAGTAAAGAGGTAGAGGTTGAAAGGTATGTGTTTTATATGAAGGTGCGCATTGTGGTGTTGTTTTTGGAACAGTAATTCTTTGTAGGTGAATATTCCTTCACAAATATTTTTGTTTGCAACTTTAAAATAACCACGACCTTAGAACCACCTTCCTTGGTTACTCTCCGATCTACACATTCTTCTTCCCTTTTGAGCCTTTACCTCTTCTCTAGGACTTCAACTAAGTTTATTATCTTGATTCTATAGCCAGAACTTCTGGAGATCTCTGCTAATCACGTGTTTAGTTAGTATGGCGAAACTCAAGGCACATGAAGAACTCTCCACTAATGTGAATACTATCAAAGCTCGCAACTGCGTCTCCAACCTTACTGAAGATGAGAAGGCTGTTCACTTAGCACTCAAGGCTGACCATGCTGATCTGAGCTACTACTTAAAGAAGTTATATAAGTCTGCAAAGTGTAAGGATGCCTCCTTACCTAGATACTCGAAGAACCCGCCTCAGAGCTGTTACGGTCACCACAAGCATGAAATCCGACTCGGTGTGGTTTTGGACCAGTAGAGGAGGACATAGCGAGTTACACTATAGTGGGGGACGGTAAGGGTGTAGGGTTCAGGGTCGATGCGGACCTGTTGCGGTGGAAGGTTCAGGGCTAGGGTTGGGATAACCGAGTCGGGCCCGTTTCGGGTACTTAAGGAAACAAACTTAACGGGGTTCCCCCTTCATCTTTTTTGTATCCTTCGTAGTAGACCTATAGGATAGCATCCTTTTAGCCTCCAACTCGCACTCTCATATGCTATTACTGTGAGCTGGGTGCCCTGTGTCATTACACAAAGTATATCGCTGCCTCTACTGAAGACAAGACACGTCTACAGAATGAATTGAAGGTTGAGCGTATTTGTGTTCGGTAAGTCCCTTCTGGTAATCTCTGGTAGCCTCAATCTAACTATAAACAGGACTGAGAAGGGTACCCATGCATCTTGCATTGCGAATCAGAAAGTCAAGAATATTAGCGCCTCTTCTTCTCCACAAGCCCCACCATCTACTCCGCCCAAACAACTTCTGTCTGAGCTTGCTGCATTTGAGGGTATCTCAAGTATTCCAATCGATGACAATCATAACAGCGAATGGGAGATACTGAGGTTGAAGACGATTTGGAGTTGGAGCTTATGTTACAGCGCGAGATATTTTAAATGACGAGGCTGTTCTACCAGATGAGCTTTCCGATGAAGAGATCACTAGCACCCAGGCTCTCTTAACTCAAGCGCACATTGATGTATGCTACCTCATAATCTGGTAATCTTCTGGTGATACTAATAGTTGATAGGCCCATGAAGAGTCCAATTTCCGCAAGTGGCAACATTTCTGGGATAGCTGTATCCACTCATATACGAGAAAGGCTGGAAAGCTGAGAAAGAAGCCTGAGCGTCTCTTTGAGTATATGCCGTGGATTGATGTAGAGGAAGGGTACGTCTCTGATCATCCTAGCAATCTTCTGGCAATACTAATTGTTTATTATAGCACTTTTCACGAGGTTATCCCACCACATAAATATTTCTGTTTGTACGAGCAGGCAGTTTAGAAAGTGGGCCTAATTACCAGGACCTGTGCAGTGGTACCCAAAGTCTTACAATCTTGTCGACAATGGATGGTTGCAAATATCCACTCATAGTTCTAGCTTCAAAGAGGCGTTCTTACTTGTCTACTCTAAGAAGTTTGATAAGGAAAAGTGGGCTAAGGTATCAGCTGCACAGGATATGTTGTTCCTGGAGCTAGAGTAGAGGAGAACTTGAGTTGCTAAAGTTATAGCGCTGGAGTACCTTTCGCGTTGGAAAACCAGGTATTTAAGTACTTCATCGTAGCCAGACTTCTGGTAACCTTCTGATAATCGAGCAATTTGCCAAATGCCATCTCAATACTCAGAGTTGTTTGATTCTGACAGTATTCTCAGACTCTTTTCCGTCTTCTCAACGACTATCCTCATTAAATCAAGTCTGTAAGGACACAGGGCACCCAGCTCACAGTAATAGCATATGAGAGTGCGAGTCAGAGGCTAAACGGATGCTATCCTATAGGTCTACTACGAAGGATACAAAAAAGATGAAGAGAGGAACCCCCGTTGGGTCAATCTCCTTAAGTACCCGAAACGGGTCCGACTCAGCTAACCTGCCTTAACTCTTATCATGTGACCGTAACCTGCCCGACTCAGATCCTTTCCATCACTGAGGGACAGGCATCCTTACAAAGTCCCTGCAGGCCTTGAATATATTGGCAAGTTAAACCAATTCGTCAAATGGACTAAGGATACACACGATATATTCATTGAGTGGTGGAAGCTATCACGATGGTATGAACAACACTCAGATCATACTACAAAACTCCTTATGAAGATTGCATGGGATTCAACCAACTGGAGTTCTCAATACTGGAGAAGTTATCACCAAGGAGCAGACCGGCTTTCTGGAGAACCATGTGTTATTTGTACTTATTGTTCGAAGGCCCTTACGCATCCTGCAATCAAGTCTGCTGGCCCAAAGTCTATGGCAACACATCTTGCATCAGACATTTGCAAAAAGAAGTCACAGATGGGAAGGATAGTCTCTATCAAATGCGAATCAATCAAATGCAACCTCAACAAGTAAGGATTACCAGATTATTACCAGAATTATGTAGGTTAATACCTATAATAAGATCATATTCTCACACAAGAGACATTTTATGAACAAGTTCTATACACAGTTATCTTGACTCATAGCTCGTTCCGCTCAGTCGAGGATCCTCATCAAGACCCTATAAATACTTTAGGTATTAGTAGGTCTGGCCGGCCTCATCAAGCAAGGTGGAGGGATGTTCTTAAGCATATATAATAGATAATAGCGTTCTAATAATCTTCTGATAATCATGGTACTTAGATAGAGGAATATACATGATTCGTTCTCACAGCTTACTAGAGATGGCGAGAGTGATGCTAATAGATGTAATACTTTAACTTAACCATAAAACAGTATTAATCGTATGAGGGACTGTTCACATGATGCATAAATCTTACACGTGATAGCCGAGTACTCACCGGGTTTTTACAGAGTAACTGAGTATTGACCTCACTCACCGAGTCGAGTAAAAGGTTCAGCTACTCACCCAGCTGAGTAACCCACTGAGCGAGTGAGCCGAGTATTGAGCGAGTAGTGCGCAGCCTATCTATAGCCCACCGAGTCCTGAAATTTGAAGTCTAATCTCAACGTTGCGCCTGAAAAGGGATTGTGTCCTTCAACTCCGGTTCATCAAGATCTTGATGCCATATCTTTGTCTTAACATTTCTGTTCGTGTTCGTTAATCAAAATAATGCGCCGTGCTCCAGAAACTCAAAGCCAAACCGCCGACCTTGGAGCCCAACTACGATGGATGTTTGCACATTCTCTCGTGCACACCCACCGCCATGTTCGTGTAATGCGCCGTGCCCCAGAAACTCGAAACTAAACCGCCGACTTTGGAGCCCAACCAGGATGAATATGGTTTGCACATTCTCTCTCGCACCTAGTGCACACCCACCAACGCGGCCCGTCCGTTTCCAAACCGGCCCCGCAGTGCGAGCAGGGTACTGGCTGCATCAGCGACCGTTCCAGCTTGGCCCGATCCCGAGCATCGCGATGAGTGACCAGCACCTCACTTGGGAGTTTGCGGCAATTCACGCAGACCATTTGTTTTGTGAGGTACGGTCTGCATTTACAGCTACTCTGCCCGGAGGTGGTATCCTTGTAGCACGTCGTGCAGCGGGGTTTGCAGTCTTCTAGGTGGAGAGAAGTTGGTGTGTCACGGAGTTCGCGCTCAAATCCACAACCCTGCAGAATTCTTAGATGGATGTTCCATACTCAGTAACTGGACGGGACGGAATGCTATCTTACATCACATAACTGGATTTGGCAGTGCCAGCATCTCGTCTTCCCAGTCAGGTTACAACTGTTCAGTCGAAAATGCGCCGTGTGGTGTCTGATGTTCCCAGTTGGGAAGAGAGTCTCCCGGATGTGGCTTGAGGCCAAACTGAGACTTTGAATATCGGTATAGTGCAGGTTAGAAGCAATCAATGTTGAGATGTCGAGAATCAGCAGCCGAGATAGGCGATCCGAATATGTGTCCCGGAAGATGGTATTGTTCTCGTATGGCGGGTTGTCCTGAACTAACCTTGCCGTCGATGATGAGCGGCGTCCTCTGTGCCTGTATATCACCTTTACACAGTAGCGATAGCAGAAATACCACTTTGCCCTTGTTCTAGGAAAGACGAAGAAGTGCCAGATAATGTAGAATGGCAACAGTAGGTACTTAAGCAGTGTACGCAAGAAAGTTCTGTTCCGTATCATATCCGTGCTCCACGGTCTTTTAAGTCCGTATAAAGTGAATAACTGGTTTCGGGCACCAGCAAGAATGTTTAAAATGCCAAAAATCGAGAATATAACTCTGCGATATATGAAACTCAGTCAGTAAGGTAATTCTCCGGGGATGCTGAGATAAACAAATATGCGTAATGCCAGCAATACTCACATCACAGCAACAGTAAATATCCAGGTTTCCACGTATTTCTCACAACAACCCTTTGGATCCGGGTCGGCAGGTTTTTGGAGCTTCGCTAGGACAGTAAACCAAGATTCGTCGGAGGCATTTGACACCTGCCACGAAGTGGCACTTTTACAGGCGCTTTTCCAGCGGGGTATGTAAGTGCTCTGCCAGTAGACTGCGGGAATCAAAGCAGCGACGACGCCCAGGTCTATTAAACCCATGTAAACGAGTAAAACGCATGAGTCGAGGATTGATAGGACCCAGGCAACTATATCGTACCAGAAGCAAAAAATCAACTTGTTGTACGCGTCAGTATATGCCAAATAATTGTAGAGAAGTTTGAACGAACCCCAATGTATATTTCCCGCTCCCCACGGTCAATATTGGAGTTGAATTGGGGCCCGAGGAGCTCCGCGGCATGTTTGTGTACCAGCAGGCTGTTGGATCTGGCGGTCCAGGCCAAGTTGACTAGCAATAATATAACAGAGAAACGAAAGAAGGCGAACGTCCCGCCTGACATTTCGATCAGTCAGATCAGATATTATGTGGTTTTGGATAGATGGCGCAAGGCATCAGTGTAGAAAAGATGTCTGTCTGGGGTGAGGGCTCATGATGTAGTGAATATCGTGCGATTTTGATCGGATGATAGGAGTGAAGATTGAACGGTGCACCGCAAGTTCAAGGGTCTTTTGAGTGATTTATTATTTATTATTTATCTTGAGGCAGTCTCACCAGATCTACCGGGAATCGCGAAAAGGGGCGTAGGGTGCGGCTGATCTCATCTCATAAGGCTGGCTGCTGCATGAAGCTCTTCTTGGCTAAATCGGCAAGACAACCAGGCTCGCAATGCTTGGTTCTGAAACCTCGGCCCCTTCCTTCCTTTCTTCGTCGACATCTTCACTTCTGAACTCCAATACTCGCGCGTCAAGCCTCAAATCCCAACCTTTTCATCTTCACAGTTGGCCTCTACTATTCCAGAAAACAAGTATATTGATATTTTCTACAAAAACCTCGCTTTGTCATCTTATCTTACCTCTCTCAGCATAATACATACAATCCAAATTCCAACCTGGATACGATGCATCTGGGAAGTCCCAAGCACCCTCCCGTTCCATCCCTTCAACTACATTCAAATATTTAGGAAGTCCCATCGAAAGAAACCGCAGTGCTGTCTTGGCCGGCAGCCTTTGTGTCCAACGCAATGTTGTTGTTCAGCTTCTTCTGCTCTACTGCCAATTTCGACGCAACACTGCTGTCACCCTGCACCTCCTGGATCTGAAGGGCCAGAACTGCGGCAGAGAGCTTCAGAACCTTGTTCTTTATTTTGCCGTTCTATAATCAATTTTAGTCTCGATGCGGGAAGGGTAAATAGAGTGGGTGTGTGCGGCCGCGTACCTGGATCGCCACCTTCTTGACAATCTGTAGCTCTGCTTTGCTGACATTGGCGAGGTCGGAGGTGCTGTCGATGCTGATCTTGGCCAGGGCCTTTGCCTGTGCATCTCCGGCCTGCCCAGCACTGATGGACAGGTCGTTGTATGCCTAAGAAGTCAGAGCACGGGATGAAAGCGGCAAGGCCGAGACTGTGAGGGAGAGGGTTGCGTAGAGCCCAATGGTGGAGATTGAGAGCTGCATGGTGTATTTTTTGGGGTTCGTTGAAGGTTGTTGACGTGAGGTGGTATATGTCAAATGGATAAAATTGTGGATTAAAAACGACACCACAGTCGCGATGCGAGAGAAGAAGAAGACGAAAAGTTGGTAATTGCTTGGACTGGAAATGAAGAAGTGAGCGCGGCTGAAGAAAAAAAGAGATATTACAGTGACGAGTGACGGACAAGAGGCCTCAGATCGGACTCTAGGCGAGATCAGACTAGAATTGAGACGCCAAACGCCACATGCATTTTCATTCGCCAATGATTCGTGGGGGTGAAATTTAAAGCCCGAATATCCAATTTAGACAATCCCACCATCGAGGGTGAGTGAGATGCGACGTCTCATCGCCGTTGTGAGGTTCGGGGTTTCGAGATGTTGGGTCGGTCCAAGCGCGGTGCCGATATCTCGCCCATATACCCACAAAGAGCATACTACACTGGGGTATTGCCAGTTTCAGCATCTTCAATTCACACGGAGATTCGTCGTCACATCTCCAAGTAGTGAAACCGTATGCGGCAAGAACGACTCTTTTGTTTTCCCACGAATAGCGAACGATTCAGCTTCATCGCATCATTGTTCGCTTCGCCGGCAGCTTGGACCCGACCAGCTGCTTCCCCAACAACATCTATCGCGAACAACATCGACGACGTCGACGATGCGATCTTGTCTAGCGCCTCGATATATGCAACCCCAACCCCCGAGGTCCTGCGACAGGAAGCTGCTAATCCTATTTACATTGGAGAAACTCGAATATATCACGTGGAAGACTTTGAACTTTGACATCACATCTGCCAGATGAAGAAATATCGGAGTGTAGCTCCCGTTTTGCCAAATCAGGAAAGAAAAGACTCGGAGCCTTATTTTGGCAAAATGAGCTCGAACTTGGGGAGTTCCCCACTCTGTGTATAAGCCCAAAATATATGGAGCGTAGCAGTATTAAATACTATTTTTGTCAAAATCAGAAATAGAAATTGGATATCCTGGAAACACACTTCCACAACATCTACTGAAAGTCATTTTAAATACCATAAGTCACAGTGAAAGTCACAGTGAAATTTCAATATAGCGCATCAACTGGTAGTGAAGAAGTGTATATATACTGTATCCATATTATAAAAATTCCGCCGTAGAATTAGAAACCGTGAGACCCGTTCCAGGGCTCACTTGTGTCAGAACTTGACATTATAAGTTTTACCAAGCGATAGCGAAGATGCCGGCAGTGACAAAGATGGCGGTCATGGTAACCATCAATGACTGGAGGCCGGATGCGCTGGATGGGACTGGGGTTATGACACCTCCGCCACCACTGCCAGAGCCGCTTCCGGTGCCGCTGCCGCTACCACTTCCAGAACCACTGCCACTTCCACCTCCCGAGCCGCTTCCACTTCCACTACCTGAGCCACTTCCACTTCCACTTCCACTGCCTGAGCCGCTGCCGCTGCCGTTTCCATTTCCAGAGCCGCCACCTCCAGTGCAAGTTGGCTGAGGATACGAGGTAGCGCAAGCGCAGACAGCGTTAGCGGCTTCAAGCACGGCTGGAGCCTTGTCAATGCCACATCCGGCCAGCACACAGTCTAGCGCGGCGCCATTAATCTTAGAGTAGGTGGCAGGCTCGCACTGACACCAGAAGTCGAGCTCCGAGCAGCCAAATTGAGCACCAGCGCTTTTAATGCAGTCAGTTGCACATGGTGGGATTGCAGAGGCGGAGGCATCGCATTGAGTTGGGCCTGGTGTCGCGGAGCACGGTGTGCCAGTTCCAGTGCCAGTTGGAGGTGGGGTTGTCACCGGGCCGCCTGTACTAGTTGTCGTGGTGCCTGGGCCGCCTGGACCAGTAGTCGTCGTGTCCGGGCCGCCAGTTGTCGTAGTGTCTGGACCGCCTGTACCAGTTGTTGTGATAGTTGGTCCTCCGGTGCAAGAAGGCGCAGCGTACTCTGAAGCGCACGCACACACAGCGTTAGCTGCACTAAGTACGGGGAGAGCACCGTCGAGACCACAGGCGCCAAGGACGCAGTTTAATGCAGCTCCGTTGATGCTGGCATATGTGTCAGGCTCACACTGGCACCTGAAGTCGAGCTTAGAGCAGCCGAATTGAGCACCCGCGCTGATAATGCAGTCAGTTGCGCAAGGAGGGATCGCCGAGGCCGACGCATCACATTGGGTTGGGCCGGGAGCGACGGTGCAAGGCGTGCCGCCTGTAGTAGTTGGCGTTTGCTCTGTGGTTGGCTTGTCTGTGGTTGGCTCCGCGGTTGAAGTTGGGGTTGCTTCCGTAGTACCGGGGCCAGTGGTGGTGTCCGTGGGTGGCCCAGTAGTTGGCTCGGGGCCACCTGTGCAAGGAACCGTAGGGTAAGACGATGCGCAGTCGCACACAGCGTTAGCTGCACTAAGTACGGGGAGAGCACCGTCGAGACCACAGGCGCCAAGGACGCAGTTTAATGCAGCTCCGTTGATGTTGGCATATGTGTCAGGCTCACACTGGCACCTGAAGTCGAGCTTAGAGCAGCCGAATTGAGCACCCGCGCTGATAATGCAGTCAGTTGCGCAAGGAGGGATCGCCGAGGCCGACGCATCACATTGGGTCGGGCCTGGGGTAACCACGCACGACGGCGAGCCGGTTGTGGGGGTAGCCTTATCCGTGGTTATGACAGGTGGATCCGTGGTTACGACAGGAGGGTCGGTAGATGTCGGGGCAGCAGTGCTCGTTGGAGATGGATACTCAGATGCGCAAGCGCATACGGCATTAGCTGCGTTGAGGACAGGCAGAGCGCCGTCAAGGCCACAGGCACCAAGGACGCAGTTTATTGCAGCTCCATTGATGTTGGCGTATGTGTCAGGCTTGCACTGACACCAATAGTCCTCTTTGGTACAGCCAAACTGTTCGCCGGCACTGATAATGCATCCAGTCTGTGAGGCTTGGTCAGCCAGAATTTCTCATAAAGAGGCGGCAAGGAACCTTACGGCACAGGCCGGGATAGCGGAGGTCTTGGGATCACACTGTGTGGGACCTGGGGTGGTAGCTGTAACGACGGCGGCGACAGCCAAAATGACCGCAGGGCTGAGGAGCATCATAGTTGCCTCGATTTCCAACGAGTGCGGGCTCTAAAAGTTGGAGAACTGTGGGTGTGATGACGGAAGCGCTGATCTTATAGCAATCCATTGAAAGTGAGATCCGTCAATAATCCCTGACGCAATCCCCTGTTGGTGCCTTTGTTGGTGTATCCAGACCAGGCATGGGATTCTACCTGGCATGTGAATCTTTAAAACAGGGCGGAAATAGCTATTTTGGCAAGATGCCGAGGATGCACAGAGGCTCATGTCAAGCACAGCGACATCCATGTGCGAGCGCAGAATCAGTATCTGCTAGGTAGATGGTGCTGAGTGATCCCAGGACGCCACTAGTAGGAGGGAACAAGCAATCCGGGGTGATATCACGATTCCCCAGGAAGAAGGAACAGACCATTGAATATGCACTCCGCATCTAGTCCGCTTTCGCTCATTAGCAGGGTAAATAGGGGACTTGGAGAGCAACTTTAAGCCTGTTGCGGACAGCAGCATAGACAAGCGTACGCCACGCGTGCTGGGGTGTCACCTTTCACATGGCAAAAGGCAAAAGGGAAAAGGGAAAAGGGAAAAGGGAAAAGGGAAAAGGGAAAAGGGAAAAGGGAAAAGGGAAAAGGGAAAAGGGAAAAGGGAAAAGGGAAAAGGGAAAAGGGAAAAGGGAAAAGGGAAAAGGGAAAAGGGAAAAGGGAAAAGGGAAAAGGGAAAATGATGAACAAACACCCAAGTCGGAGCTTGTAATACTGCATTTTCGGCGCGGACGCACTGGGCCAAAAGCGGAAGGAGCTAATGAGAGGAGTAAAGAGTGACAAGCAGTCGGGAGTGGAGGGAATGGCAAGGACCCAAAAAGCACCAACAACAGATAGGTTTAGAAGAGTATGCCTAACATCTGGAATACATGGCATCGCACATATCGTTAGGTGGAAACCTCTTTGCATTGTCGATCTTCTTACCAAGAACCCGAGCTGGTCCGTGCGTAAGGGCACACAAAAGATCGCGATGGATGGTTTTTAGTCGGAGCGGGGCAGCCGTCGCTCGCACCACATATCTTATGTACCTTAGGGGGGCCGGCCCTTTTTTCGTGACCATTAGAGAGGATTAATCGTATAAAAGGGTCTTAGACTAACCCACACTGTCTTACGTAGCTAATAATGTGGCTAGGAAAGGGCTTCGTAGTATGATATTTTACCGCCAAGCCTATACTAGTAGTATTTCTAGAAGGTAATATTCCAACCAGTGTTGCCCGAGTACTACTCGTTGCGAGTACTACTCGACTCGAAGAAATCTGAACTACTCGAGTACTACGGAGTACTCGAGTAGTTGCCAAGACAGCCAAGAGAGTGGGGTAAGGACGTAGACAGAATTATAGCATAGGCAAAGTGAAGCTTTCAATGACTTGAATATTACTGTGATACTTACCATCGTCAAGATAAGCGAGTCTTCGCTATCACCGCCGCCCCTAGACAACCCGTGCGAATATGAGAATGCCTCTCTTGCCCCTACCACTTGTACGCATGCCTGTACGGCCTCAAGACCAACTGTTACCAGATTCTGACTCAATCCTCTTTGCAAAGGGTCTATACTCTCGTACTATTCTTGATAATGCGCCTTTAAGAATATCATTTAAGTGCTTGCAGCCACATTGCACATTATACACCATCACAACCTACAAAGATGCAGACAACGAGTAATCTTTGGAAGCATTTAAAGACACAACATCCAGCAATACATGCACAATATAAGAAAAAGCATGTTCAAGACAGAGATACACAGCCTTCTTCTTCAACTACAGCTACATTTCTTCCAGCCTCGCAAAGTACCTAGCCATGTGTCATACTGACATTTGTTGCACTCAGTTTGCTATCAAACTCAAGAGCAAACTTAGAAATCTCCTTCTCAAACCTACAAGTCACTATACATATTTTGGCTTATCACACCAATGATTATGATGATGCTATTTATTTATGCCCAGCAGGTGGCGGGCAAAGCCCGCCACCCTGTAAAACCTCCCGAAGGGTATGGGGACGTGCTATGCTAGGGGTTTATGTACATAGTATGACCTTAGATGGCATTTCGTGCGTGTGCGCATAGACTTATTGCCAGATGTCTGAGTGCCTTCCCCGCCTGTTGGGATGGCGTCAGGTATTTGTTAGAGGGGGTGGTTCCTCTACGGATGGCCCTGGTGGTTCAGGGGTGGACGTGCAGCTGGTAAGTGATTTCCCAGGCCCGACCCAGGGAATACCCAGAACCACGACAGCGCTCTAACGTGACACAATCCCTGAGGATATCGCACTAGCATGCGCATGCAGCCGGGCTGGAGGGGTCCAGCACAATAACCCCTCTCTAAAACACCCCAACTCCTGCCAGCCCCCATTCCACTAACCTGCAACCAAACTATGACCCCATAGCACGGCGGCAGGACACACCTCTCGACCTCCCACAGCAGCGCGCCACAGGAGCCACGCCTAGGGCTAGGTCCTTTGTTCTAGTCCTGCGTGGCCTCATTATTCTGATTTCCCCAGCCGGGCCTGGGAAAAGATTTAGACCTGGGGAAAAGTATGCCGGTCTAGAGTAGCCGTTAGCGGGGGCATATCGTGGTGTAGAACTCTGTGGCCTGGAGGAAAGTGGTGAAGTCAGCTGGTTTAGCCATGAGGCGCGTGAGATACTCGATGCCAGCGGCCGGGGTGTTTGGTCGGGCTTCTGGTCGCTGTGGCCAGTGGCGAATTGGAATGGGTTGGTGGTTTTTCGGCAGTGTATGATGTGGTCAGGGGTCTTAGGTCTACCGAAAGAGCAGAGGAGTTGGGCGTCCTTGTGTGCGAACTTGGTGTGGTACCAGGAAAAGTCTCCGTGGGAGGAGCGTATCGCTAGGAGCCTGTGTAGCGTCGTCCGGGTGAGGTCGAGCTCTGGGAGCAGCTTCACTTGGTAGCTGAGGTTCCATTTGCCGTACCAGGTGGAGAGCTTAGTGCTGCACTGTGTCCACCAGGCCTGCTGTGCATTCCTCCGGAGGTCTCAGTAGACAGAGCGGATGCCGCTGGCCGTCGGCTGAGAGGCCTGGCCTGTGTCACAGGTGTCCTGGATACCGAGGTCTGCGAGTTTGTCTGCTGCTTCGTTGCCCTGTATTCCGGTGTGGCCGGGTGACCATCTGATCCCGATGTCGAAACATTGCATCACCTCCTGGCAGGCTATGAAAGCCCATTGGGATGAGTAGGGGGTGTCGCCTCTAAGGCACCAGATGACGGAGGTGCTGTCTATGCACAGCTAGAGGCGGCGCTGGCTGATGTCTGGAGGGAGGCGGAGCGTGTGTTGTAGGGCTTTCCAGGCCCCTATCGCTTTCGCATCGAAGACGTGCGAGAGGGGGTTGATGGCCCCGTGTCCCGAGGCAATCTGGTGGCCATTCTGGTAGATGGCGTAGGGCTCCCGAGTGCTGTTGCTCCGACCCGTCTGAGAAGATGGTGACGTCCGTGTATGGTAGGGCTGCCCACCATCGTTTGAATTGGTTGGAGGCGGTGGTCTTGTCGAGACCGCCTGTTGGGCTGGTGCGGCACCCGATGGTGAAGTGTGGGGGCCTTAGTGTCGGCCGTGGGATGGGGGGGATGATTGTGCCGAGCTGCTGTATCTTAGTCCTTGGGCACTGTCAGGTCCCAGCGCCTCTGCCCCTGATGATGTATGGTGGCTGGATGCACCAGATGAGGGGGTGGCAGGCCTCTACGGTTTGGAGTCGCGTCGCAAAACGGAGTTTGGCGTCCTCAAGTGCTGCCATCCCGGAGGGTAGGCTGGCATCATGGAAGAGGGTTATAGTTGGTGTGGTTCGCCAGATGGGGAGGACACCTCTTGCAGCTAGGGTGATAGTCTTCTCGACTAGGTCGACGTGCCATCCGAGTCACGCGCTGACTGTGGTTGTCCTGTTGCTGTGCAGTGGCCTTGCTGGCTTGTGTTGGCCTGCATACCACGCTTCTGTACCATACAGGATAGAGGGGAGGATGCAGGTGATGACTGCTTTCCGGAGTGCTGAGGCGGGCGGGCCGTCTGACGTCCGGGCGAGACTGCAGATGTGCCGGGCGGCTTGCCGTACTTTTGCTGCACGTTCCGCGACGTGGTCTAAAGGTTAGTTTGCGGTCAAACCACACTACGAGCCAACGAAGTGCTGGTTGGTCCCCCTCTTTGGTGGCAGATAAGATGGGGTGTATGGTAAGCTCGTTGTTAACTCGGCAGGGGGGGGGCGGCTAGGCTGTTCTTCTTTGTGAGGTGGATCATCTCGAGCTTCTCTGGGGCGAAAGCGACCTTATTCTGGGCGCCCCAGCGGATGATGCTGTTTACGTCATCTGCAAGGAGTTGGACGTTGTCTTCATTTTTCGGCCAAAGTATCAGATCACCCGGGTCCACTCCCTGACTACAGACCTTGCACACTCTGTCGAGTCGCTGTAAAGCATCATCTGAGTCAAGCGTAAGAGGTTGCTGTGAAAGACAGGATGTATCTTCATGCTTGGTGTCATACTGACATTCGTTGCACTCAGTTTGCTATCAAACTCAAGAGCAAACTTGGAAATCTCCTCCTCAAACCTACAAGTCACTATACATATTTTGGCTTATCACACCAACAACAAGAGCAATACTACTCAACGATTGCTACAACCATCTATGATTCATTACACGTCATCGCTCCTTAGTTACTGGGCCGATATTACCACATAGCATATCTCTACAACCCTCTATGATTCATTACATGACATCACTCATACTACCACATGACATATCTCTACCAACTAGAGGCCTAGGAGCATGAACGATAGCTACGAACCTCTATGATTCATTACATGTCATCGCTCTTTAGTTACCCACAAGATTGGTTAAGTTATGACATAATTTGTCTATGACATAATTTGTCTATGACATAATTTGTCTATAGGGGTACTCTGACCTTGGACCTCCTTTTACTTCCTATAGGCTACGAACCTAAGAGATGGTTCTATGGGATTCTCTTACGTCGACTACAGTTACAAAGCCTGGTAAGTCATGGAAAGTCTTGGAATATGAGAGAACTACACTCCTTTAGCATAAATAGGATTGCCCTTTCCTTAAGAAAGGGCAAGCAGACAATACAGTAAATCGACTATCACATACTTCCATGTCTTTTCCAAGCTTCCAAGCATTCATCTTGTTACTCCTTGTTTCTGAAAAGTCAGTGAGGTGTTAACCTCTGACTTACCCCTGAGTTCCCAGACTCAACATTTGTTGCAACTTGTCTGAACCACTTCACTACATCACACACCTGATTGCTGCGTTGTGGAATAGTCTAAGCTACGACCCTTTGGCTCTGTTTTCTAAGACAGTGTGTTGTCTTAGTAAATTCATGCCTTCCTTGGGTGGCTAGATTCTCACATCTGGTGCACCCACCATTACACTTGGTGGTAGCTCTAATCGATTCGTTCGAGAATCTTATACGGACCAACTTGCTTGTGATCAAGTTTCTTCGATGGCCTCTGAGTCCTGATATTTCGTGTAGATAGCCATACTTGATCTCCAACCTGATATCTTGGTGCAGCTTTCCTGCGTTGATTTGCGAATGTCTCCATGC